AAAAAAAAAAAAAAAATGTATTTTTCAAAAATTTAAAAACATTAAAAATATTTTCCCTTATTTTTCATACATATTTAATATTGATATCTGAGGAAAAGCATCTAAAATTTACTAAAAAAGTGATCTGTATTTTAATTATCTCTGAATTACAGATATTTGCTAATTTTTCTTATCTTCTAACAGTGTATAAATTATTGGCAAGCCAGGAAGTATATCTTACATAGCTTCAAATTCGTTTCATTACTTCACATGCTGCCAGTATATGGTGCTAAGTGGATAACTGGATGAGTGTGTGAATAAATGAACAAGCAAATAAAAAAGCGATCTGTAGCTAGACAAGAAACCACTATCTTCAGATAATTTGCTCTATTTGAGAAAATTTGAATTAGTCTCTCTGTTAAAAATTGCTACAGTAAGGCCTGCTTCAGAAATATGGAATTGCATGAAATTACCAGTTACAGAGAGAATATGTAACTAGCAGTATTAATAGAATTTGGGATATGAACCTGACCAGCCTTATAAGGTTTTCTGTATATGCACAGAAGACCCTGTACAGGACCATTGAGTGAGCAGTTGTTGAACCCATCCTTTTGGGACACAAGACCCTCCTGCCCTCAGAGCTGCCTTAGGGAGATAAGAATAACAAGGACTTGCTGTGACAGAACATGGATCAGTGCTGAGCACACTGTGCAACCATGTTCCAAGGAGAAGAGGGATGTGGGCTGGGGTCCCGGAAAGGAAGGCCCATACAGGGAAATGCGATGGGCTTGGACCTGGGCAGGAGCCCCAGTACAGTGAAAGGAAGGAGCAAGGACAGGGAGAGGACTTGTGTACCCAGGTTCAATTGGATCTCAAATGCTGGACGTGAGAATGACTGTGTAGAAAACACATCGTGTTGTTTCTTAGGTCTATCTCGCACCCCACACAGCATTGAGCACTCAGTAAGTATTCTACACGCTGACTTAGGCTTTTAAGTGATAATTCTGCTAGATCAAATTTGTCACTTAGGGCCATTATATCCTATCACTGTTTTTGTTTCTTTTCAGTTCCAGCTGTGGTTATATTGTAAATGAAGCATCTAACTCGTGTACAACTTGCAACAAAGATTTCTCGGAATTTAAATCTGTGTTTCTCAGCTTTGACATGCTAATTGACCTTACTGACCACACAGGTACCCTTTACTCCTGTAGTCTCACAGGAAGTGTTGCTGAGGAGACATTGGGCTGCACGGTAAATAGCAAAAAGGAAGAAATGTTTGGAAATATTTCCAAATTGGATGCTTTTCCCCCCAAATATAATATAGGTTATTTTGGTAAACATTTGATTGAAGTTAATTCATTAATAAACAGGTGTTGGAAAAAAATCTTGATTTAAACACATATAGCTTTAATGAATAACTGTTCATATTTTATATTAAAATTCTAGCTAATTACTATTATGAATAATGACTGAGGTCTTTAGCCCAAATGGAGTAATAAATGTGACCTTTTATGTAGTCAAGTAACGAGGGGAACGAGGGTAAAACAAGTTAGTCAGTCATGAGGCAGCTCTGCCAGAAGGAGGGTTTGGTGACATTTTACCTACCAGCTGTATAAAGTCATCGTGAGTTTTCTCCGTTTGGACAGCTACAGAACAGAAGCAGATACTTAGAGATTAGCATGTGCATTTGATGATAGGCACTTTTTTTATTGTTAAAGCCAGCTCATTAAATTTACCATTAAACTTTATTTCCAAAATCTGTTTCCACTTTATTGTGGGGTGTTTTCCTCGCTGAGCTACCTGATTGGCTTTAAGAGAGTCAGTTTATAGCCTGTCTTACCTTATCTATCAAAATGAGCTGTAATTGTTGTGATAAAAGTCCATTTCTAGTGAGCAAGTGTCAATTTCATATTGTTGTCAGAATGGGTTATGTATGCGTACTTCAGAAATATTTGTCTGATTTTTTTTTAACCAGGTAGATGAATTTCTTGCAATGACGGATGAACAGAAAACAGCATTAAAGTGGCAATTTCTTTTGGAAAGAAGCAAAATTTATTTAAAAGTTAGTGTATTTTATAGTACTATGTTATTCCATATATTCAAACAATAAGAAAAATTTAGAATATGACCTAATACGTTAGGGATTTATTATCTTTACTAATGCCCAATTCCCAGAAGTGAAGAAGGATTTGGTTATCCTAGAAATAATGGAAATAACCCATTTTTTCCATATAGTATAAAGGAGCTGCAAATAAAATCAAAGAAATAGAGCAACAGGAAAATAGTCGTTAATGTTAATTCCAAAGCAAGGCAATGGGTCTTTTTTTTTTTTTTTTTTTGAGACAGAGTCTTGCTTTGTTGCCCAGGCTAGAGTGAGTGCCATGGCGTCAGCCTAGCTCACAGCAACCTCAAACTCCTGGGCTCAAGCAATCCTGCTGCCTCAGCCTCCCGAGTAGCTGGGACTACAGGCATATGCCACCATGCCTGGCTGATTTTTTCTATATATTTTAGTCGGCCAATTAATTTCTTTCTATTTATAGTAGAGACGGGGGTCTCGCTCTTGCTCAGGCTGGTTTCAAACTCCTGACCTCAAGCAATCCACCCGCCTCGGCCTCCCAGAGTGCTAGGATTACAGGCGTGAGCCACCGAACCCGGCCAAGGCAATGGGTCTTAAAGTCAGAACTGGGCTATCTTCACCTTCACCTGCCGGCCTGTATAGCATAGCTCTTCACTTAATAAGTATGTGGCCTTCTGGATCCTTGAGTGCAGCCTTTTGACGGAATCCAATAAAGGGATTTGTTTTGTGAAGTTTGGATTTAGTCGAGGGCCTAGTCATGAAGAGGCATCAAACCAAGGTCCTATAAATATTGATGAGTCCATGGGAGACTCCAGGTCTGTAACCTGTTCAGCTCAGTCAGTGCAATGCAAGGTTCAGACCCCTCAAGAATCAGACAGTTCTGAAGGTGCCCTCATCAATGCCAGGCCACTGGTGCATTACGCTGAAATGACTCCCAGTCATCTTTATTGCCCAAAGTCTTACACAGTTTTCATGATAGTAGTATATTTTTTTTCCTCTCTTAGTCTTTCAAATTAAAGTGGTTGATATGGCCTTCCACTCTACATTAAATAAAATGTTAGTGAAAGTGCTTTATCAATTGTAAAAAAAGGATATTATTAATAAATTGCATCATCCCATCCCTGAAGTCTAACAGATTGCATCATGTTGCAAGTGAAAGTCTATCACAATTGGTAGTTTGAACACATGTTAACCATTTTTACCTACATGTTGGATTTGTAATCCCGACTTTCCTCTGAGAGGAATGTCATGAAAAATGACACAATTTTTTATATAATCACTGTCAGAAGCCAGAGCTATAATTTTTCTGCCGTATGCTGTGTGAGACTAGAAGTCTTTCCATGGTTTTACAACTTTAATTGAAATTTATGTTAATATCTGTAAACAAAACTTCCATTGTAGTTCTCTCCTTGTGGTTATTGGCTTCAACTTTATATACAAGGGGATTTTTATAACCTGTCTTTTTCTTTTTTCCCTGCAGTTTGTTTTATCACACAGAGCAAGGAGTGGGTTGAGAATTAGCGTGCTCTCCTGTAAGCTTGCAGATCCCATTGAGGCAAGCAGAAACTTGTCTGGACAAGGACATGTTTAAAACTGCCTATCATGTTAGACTCTGGAAAATGTAGGAGTTTTAACTTCCTTTAAAATGGAAAATTAGTTAGAAAATTATGGTCAAAATTGTATTTTGTTTAAATACAGTGAAAATGTTTCTATAAATTGTTATTATGTTTCCTCCTGGAGCTGGTTTGGGGACAAGGCTGAAAGCATCTCTCTTACCTGAGCTCACCTCTTAGAAGGCCTTTCTATTGGCTTTGCTATGTGTCTCCAGAGTTGAAAAACATGCACATGAGTTAATAAACACGTTTAATCTTTCCCACAGATTTGGTTTCTTTTTCTTAAACCACTTTACTCCTTATCTTGGTTCCCTAGAAAAAGAGTAGAACCTCTGAAAACTTTCCTAGTTGGTGGTGGCTTGTCATCTGACAGGACACGGGGAGGGGCGCTCTGGCTGGGTGGGAGCAGCAGAAGGCTTGGGCAACATGCTGCTGCTTTGAGTATCCCAGAGCTTCCCACCTACTTCACACGGAGCCACCCAGTGCTGGTGGAGGCTCACTGGCTCAGCGCTGATGCTGACGAGTCCGAATCAGCTGGGAGGAGACCAACTTCAAAGGATACCTAGGCAGTGCCTGAGTCTCAGGAACTTTGAAGGGGGAACCTATACCGGACATTAAGACAGGTGCCATTTTAACTCAGTTTCTCTCAGCTCCACGCCATTCTGAGTCACTTGCTGTGAAGACCCACCACTAGATCTGTGTTGACCCACAGCCCAGGAGGCTTGGCCAGCATTTGTTGGATCTGCCACCACACAGGATTGAGGGGAAAAGGGAAAAAGTAAGTATATGAAACTCTTATACAGCTGGTGTTGGGACATAAACTTACCTTGTCAGTAATGTTTTCTCTGGCTTTTACTGTGTGCAGCCACAGAGGGGGTGTCCAAATTGTGGTGACAAACAAGTTAAGGAAGGAATTGACCTAGCTGTGCAAAATGGGTCTGCCGAAGAGCTTCCTTCTGCTCTCCGTGGGGAGAAGTGGGTTTGTTAAGCAAGGGGACAGGAGGGTGGGCAGGGTGGAAAGGGTCAAGAGTGGTGACGAGTCAGGCAGGGGGCAGAGAGAAGTGACTGTGGCGTGGCTGTGCTGGATTCGCACCCACTGTTGGTATAGTGCCCCCCCTTCCCCAACAGGGCCCTGCTTCCAGGAGCTCAGGAGACACCGGCCCAGGGTTGTGTCGGGCTGCTGTGCAGGCCTCCTGCAGCAGGTCGGAAAGCACTAGGGCCTGGCCCGTCAGCCCATGGCCCTCCGCTGCTCTGGCTGCTCCGCCACCAGCTTCGATTGCATAACACGCACGCTCCCGCAGCAGGCAAAGAGGCAGCTGCTCTGCCCCAGCCGCAGCTTGGCCAGCAGAGGGCTCTGAATTACCTGCTCACTGCTAAGGCAACCTTATCTCACGGTCCACTGGATTTTAACTGTGAAAGCTGGAGGTGCAGCCCAATTGCATATTTCATCGGATGACACGGGGATCTGCAGGGCCAGGTGTCAAGCCACACTGAATCAAAGGGGCTTCAGAAAGCTAAATTTGCACATTTACGAAATGAAGACTAAAAATTGGTCAGGAATCTGAAATTCAGTTTTAGATTAGCCAGATGCTTATTTCTTTTTTTAAGAACTAGCATCCCAGGCCGGGCGCGGTGGCTCACGCCTGTAATCCTAGCACTCTGGGAGGCCGAGGCGGGCGGGTTGCTTGAGGTCAGGAGTTCGAAACTAGCCTGAGCAAGAGCAAGACCTCATCTCTACTATAAATAGGAAGAAATTAATTGGCCAACTAATATATATACATAGAAAAAATTAGCTGGGCATGGTGGTGCATACCTGTAGTACCAGCTACTTGGGAGGCTGAGGTAGCAGGATTGCTTGAGCCCAGGAGTTTGAGGTTGCTGTGAGCTAGGCTGACGCCACGGCACTCACTCTATTCCTGGGCAACAAAGTGAGACTCTGTCTCAAAAAAAAAAAAAAAAAGAACTAGCATCCCCTCCCCCAACATCAATACAAATATACACCCCTCATCCAGGTCACCATTGCCTACTACTCTCCAGGTGCTTTTTTCCTAGTAACTTGATCTATATGTTTTTATTGCTTTATATAAATAGTTTAGTGACTATATGAGCTTTCCTAATTTTATATTAATGGTTCATTTCAATAAGATATTCCTCTCTTAATTCTGCCTTGGGGAGTTTATTGGCTCAATACTTTGCACATGGCAGAGACATATATATTTCTGTCCATCCATTGCTCATCCTGAGGAATCCTGGGGTGGTTTTTTTTTTTTTTTTTTTGAGACAGAGTCTTGCTTTGTTGCCCAGGCTAGAGCGAATGCTGTGGCATCAGCCTAGCTCACAGCAACCTCAAACTCCTAGGCTCAAGTGATCCTAATGCCTCAGCCTCCCAAGTAGCTGGGACTACAGGCATGCATCACCATACCTGGCTAATTTTTTCTATATATATTAGTTGGCCAATTAATTTCTTTCTATTTATAGTAGAGACGGGGTCTTGCTCTTGCTCAGGCTGGTTTCAAACTCCTGACCTCTAGCAATCCTCCCGCTTCAGCCTCCCAGAGTGCTAGGATTATAGGCGTGAGCCACAGCGCCTGGCCTGGTTTCTGCTTTTTAATTTTTTTTATTATAAAGTTTTATGCTGATTGTAGAAAAATAAGAATAGATAACCAAAAAAGGAAAACCCATAATCTCCCATCCTACTTTTTTTTTTTTGAGACAGAGTCTCACTCTGTTGCCTGGGCTAGAGTGCCATGGCGTCAGCCTAGCTCACAGCAACCTCAGACTCCTGGACTCAAGAAATCCTGCTGCTTCAGCCTCCTGAGTAGCTGGGACTACAGGCATGCACCACCATGCCTGGCTAATGTATATGTGTGTACATACATACATATATACATATATATGTATGTATGTATGTATATATATATACATATACACACATATATATCCCACCCGGCACTCTACACTCATCAGGCAATAACTCCCAATTCTCCCATCCCCTCATCCCCAGGTAACATCTAATCTATTGTCTGTCTCTGTACCTCATGTAAGTAGAATCATGTAACATTTGTCCTTTTGTGTATGGCTTCTTTATTTAGCATAACATTTTTGAGTTTCCTCCACTTTACATCATGTATCAGTGCTCTGTTGCTTTGATGGCCAAGTAATACTCCATTATATGGCTATACCACATTTTATTTATCTATTCATCTGTTGATGATGTTTAGGTTTTTTCATCCTTTTGGCTATTGTGAATGATGCTGCTGTGAACATGCCTGTACAGCAGCCCATGTTTTTGTATGTTTTTCCTTTCTATCATCTATCCACCTATGTTAAAACATGTAATTTACAAACAGTTTACACTATAATCGGCTTTCACACTTAATTTGTAATAAACATTTTCATATCATTAAACATTCTACATAATTTTAATGGTCACATACATTTCATTAGTATATGAGTATAAGATATTGAATATAATCAATCCAGTATCATTGGACATTTACGATGCTTCCCATTTTTTTGCTATTATAAATGACAGATATTCCTAAATCTTTGTCTATATTTTTAAAATTTTATTTTTAATTGACATATAATAATGGTACATATTTTATTTTTTTAGAGATGGGATCTTGTTATGTTGACCATGCTGGACTTCCCTGGGTCCAAGCAATCCTCCTGCCTCAGCCTCCCAAGTAGCTGGTACTACAGGTACACACCACTGCACCTGGCTTAATATGGTGTATTAATATGGTGTATACATATTTATGGTGTACATAGTGATGTTTTGATACATACAATGTATAGTGGTCAAATCAGGGTAATTAGCATATCCATTACCTCAAAAAATTGTTATCTCTTTGTATTGGGAACATTCAAAATCTTCCCTGTAGGCCGGGCGCAGTGGCTCACACCTGTAATCCTAGCACTCTGGGAGGCCGAGGTGGGCAGATTGCTCGAGGTCAGGAGTTTGAAACCAGGCTGAGCAAGAGCGAGACCCCGTCTCTACTATAAATAGAAAGAAATTAATTGGCCAACTAATATATATATAGAAAAATTAGCGGGGCATGGTGGCACATGCCTGTAATCCCAGCTACTTGGGAGGCTGAGGCAGGAGGATCGCTTGAGCCCAGGAGTTTGAGGTTGCTGTGAGCTAGGCTGATGCCACGGCACTCACACTAGCCTGGGCAACAGAGTGAGACTCTGTCTCAAAAAAAAAAAAGAAAAACCCAAAATCTTCCCTGTAGCTATCCAAAAGTCTGTTATAAAGTATTGTTTAGCCATAGTCATCCTACACTTCTGAGACACTAGAATTCACTCCTTCTATCTAGCTGTAATTTTGTATCCTTTGATCAATCTCTCCCTATCTCCCCTTACCCTTCACAGATACTAGTAACCACTATTCTACTCTTCTATGAGATCAACTTTTTTAGCTTCCACATATGAGTGAGAACATGTGGTATTTATCTTTCTGTTCCTGGCATATTTCACTTAACATAATGTCCTTCAGGCTCAACCATATTGGCATGAATGACAGGATTTCATTCTTTTTATGGCTGACTAGTATCCTGTTGTATACATATACCATATTTTCTTTATTCATTTGTTGATTCCATATGTTGGCTACTGTGAATAGTGCTGCAGTGAACATGGGGGTGCATATATCTCTTTGATATACTGATTTCCTTTCCTTTGGATATATACCCAGTAGTGGGATTGCTGGACCATACAGCAGTTCTATTTGTAGTTTTTTGAAGAGCCTCCATATTGTTCTCTGTAATGGCTATGCTGATTTAAATTCCTGCCAACTGTGTGTAAAAGAGTTCTCTTCTTTCCACATCCTCACCCGCATCTGTTAATTTTTTGTCTTTTTGATAATAGCCATCCTAACTGGGGTGAGAGATCTCATTGTGGTTTTGATTTGCCCTAATGATTAGTGATGTTGAACATTTTATCATTTATATTTTGGCCGTTTATATATCATCTTTTGAGAAATGTCTATTCAGATCACTTGCCCATTTTTAATAGATTTTTTTCCCATTGAGTCATGTTCCTTGTTTATTCTGAATATTAATCCCCTGTCAGATATATAGTCTGCAAACAGTTTCTCCCATTCTGTAGGTCATCTTTTCACTCTATGGGTAGTTTCCTTTACTGTGCAGAAGATTTTTAATTTGGTATGATCCCATTTGTCTATTTTTGTTCTTGTTGCCTATGCTCTTATTCATAAAATGTTTACCCAGACCAATGTCCAGAGCATTTCCCCTGTTTTCTTCTAGAAGTTTTATAGTTTTGGGTCTTACATGTAAGTTTTTAATGTATTCTAAGTTGGCTTTTGCATATGGTAAAAGATAGGGATTCAGTTTCATTCTTCTGCATGTGGATGTCCAGTTTTCCCAGCACCATTTATTAAAGAGACTGTCCTTTCCCAAATGTATATTCATGGGGCCTTTGTCAAAAATCAGGTTCATATTTTAAATTATTTCCTTGGGATAAATTTCTAGACATTAAGTAGCTCCAGTAATATTAATAGCAAACATTATTGAGTGCTTTTTTTCTTTTGAGACAGAGTCTCACTCTGTTGCCTGAGCTAGAGTGCCATGGTGTCAGCCTAGCTCACAGCAACCTCAAACTCCTGGGCTCAAGCGATCCTCCTGCCTCAGCCTTCTGAGTAGCTGGGACTACAGGCATGCACCACCATGCCCGGCTAATTTTTTCTAGATATTTTTAGTTAGCCAATTAATTTCTTTCTATTTTTAGTAGAGACAGGGTCTTGCTCTTGCTCAGGCTGGTTTTGAACTCCTGACCTTGAGAGATCCACCTGCCTCGGCCTCCCAGAGTGCTAGGATAACAGGTGTGAGCCACTGTGCCCAGCCTATTGAGTGCTTTTTATGTGACATTGTAATAAACACTGTACTGATAAATATTACACATATTTACTGATATTATCTGATTTATACAAACTAATGCTATTTTGCCCATTTTACAGATGGGATGTGAAACTAGAGGAGGTGGAATTAAGGTGGCTGTGTGGGCAGGCTCTGTGGCTGTAGGCTCAGACCCCCAGCTCTGAGCTGCTCCATTTGAGGTTCCCCTTTTGTAACTGGGACTAACAATACAAACTTCTCGTGAGTGCTCAGACTTATGCATTTAGCTTATGATCAGTACTAATTATTGTAAGTGTTGGGGTTTAGCAATTTTATTGGCCCCCATGTTTGGTAATATTTTTTTGTATGAGTTCTATTCTGCTTTTAGTTTTTGAATTTTTTCTAGTGTATCATTACACTTACAATTATTTTCCTCTTTTCTTAAAAATATGAAGGTTTTAATATAGTTGAATTTTGTATCTTGAAAGGCAATATAAAACTGACCTGAAAATAAAGATACTGTACCAACATTTAACCAAGGATATGTCAAATAGTTTTGTTGAAAAAAAACCCGAGTATAAACATGAAACGATATCTGCTTTATTATTAAGGAAATGCATATTAAAATGATTGTAGCCATGATGCCCAGTGTTGGCTAAAGTGTGTCAAAAAAGGCATTCTTAAACACTCTTGTCAAGTACAAATTAGTACACTCTTTTTCCTGGACAATTTGGCAAAAAG